GGGTGTGTGTGTGTGTGTGTGTGTGTGTGTGTGTGTGTGTGCATGGGTGGTGTGTGTGTGTGGCGTGTGGGGTGTGTGGGTGTGGGTGGGTGGGTGGTGTGGGTGGTGGGTGGGTGGGTGGGTGGTGTGTGGGTGTGTGGGTGTGTGTGGGTGGTGTGGTGGGTGTGTGGGTGTGTGGGGTGGTGTGTGTGTGTGTGGGTGGGTGCGTGGTGTGGTGGGTGGGTGGGCTGGGTGGGTGGGTGGGTGGGTGTGTGTGTGGGTGTGTGTGTGTGGGTGTGTGTGTGGGTGTGGGTGTGTGTGGGTGGGTGGTTGTGTTACAAAATCTAGCTTAATGTCTTCTTACCCTCCACAACCACGAGGGAAAAATTGATAAAGTATACATACAAACTGAACCTTATGCGGGGTTATGTTCTGAAGAGGGTGTAGGGTATCGAGATATTAATGTTGTCTAGCACTCAGGATGGAAGGAAACTCTAATGTGGTTTTCTTATATAATATATATGTTATATGATAGACAGTCTGGTGCTGGAGATGCCGTGTGGTGGGGGAGCAGCTCAGTAGAAGACGTTCGGGAGTATCGTGTTGAAGGAGGTAGATGTGCAGGAGCTTTAGAGAAGGTGTGCCTTTTGTTAAGGCCTCCTGGTTGAATGAAATGTTAACAGCGTGGAGCTTGCTGAGGAGGTGTTGCTTTGTTCAAGAAGAATGGTCAGAATGAATCTCAATGGAGAGACAGAGCTAATATACACCCGGCAGCAGCCGCCAGTCTCTATGAGTCATGTTGGGAAAAACGGAGAAGCAGCCTGGTGACTAGTTTCGCTGTTAAGAGACGGTAACATCTGGGGACAGCTCTCGCTGGTTGCTAGGAGGCGGCACATTGAATGCGGATACGCCTGGTGGTGCAAGCATGCAGTTAGAGAATTCCACTACAAGGGTGTGTAGTGTAGTGAACATAAGCCTTGAAAATCCTTTAAATCAGGCATAGGATACATAATTATATATACTTGTCAGTAGCACCTCTGGCAACTTGGCTGGTTAGGCCTATTTCAATTTAAAATGACACCACACACAGTATGAGCAATATTTTTTTTTTTTAATAATTATCATAAGGTCAGGAACATAAGGGCAATTAATCATTGTGTGTGTAGAAGCAGGCACTGAGGGTGGGAGCTACAGCTGGCGTTTCCCCTCACTGCTCCTCTCTCTCTCTCTCTCTCTCTCTCCTGGTGTATGGCAATGCAGTAATTTTTTATTATTATTTTGTATTTATTCCTCACATATACTGGCACAGTAAATATTATTTTATGTACAATGAATAAATTCTTCTACATGCATATCTCCCACACATCCAGCTCTCAACACAGTTCAGGTAATCACCCATCAGCTGACTCACAGATGTGTGGTGGGTGTGTACACCGTGATACATTTAAAGCCCAGGATTCCACCGCCAAAAAAACACATTTACTACCCACATATGTTTTTATGCTTCTTATTTTATAGTTTTATATTATATTTTCCATATTTCTAAGCCTCAGTAGAATATTGTAATGATTTTTTTCATAACTTTTATAGCTTCATTACAAGTAACAATATATGAGGCTGCTTGGCTGGTGTGTTGGTCACCTGTACTTTATAGCCAAGGCCTTGGCTAGAACCGTTTCCATACACTTTCACTTCAACCCATGGTTTTCACTTTTCTTGATTTATATTATATTTTCTTTATTTCTAAGCCACATCGTTTATACTGAGTAGAATAAGTGTTAATGAAGTCTATTTTCTGAGAGCCACAGGAGTTAACTGGCTGACATGCCAGTCAGTTGTGACTTGGAGAGATGGTAATGCATGATGCCATTGTTACTTTTTTTTTTTTTACAGGGATTTGCCCACCCGGGCACAGGTCACTAACCCACATTGGGGCCTGGGGGGAAATGTAATAATAATTATAATAATAATAATTATTTATAGTAAATAAAATTTATAATAAAAATACACAAAAATAAAAAATAATGATAAATAATAATAATAATAATATAATAATAATAAAACAAAAATAATAATAATAATAAAATAATAATAAAACAAAATAATAATAATAATAACAATAACACTGTAATAATAAAGTAATAATAATAATAAAGAAATACAAAAATGAAAAAAAAGATCAAGAGGAGAAACATGACTTACTGTAGACCTATGAATTATTATTATTATAATTATTAATATTTTAGCCCAGGCTCCAATGTGGGTCAGTGACCTGTCCGGTGGTCTGATCCTGTATATTTATATAAAAAAAAAAAAAAACCTAACCTAACCATTCTGAACTCGTAATCCAAAATCCAAATGCATCTGGTCCCAAGGATTGGATAAGGATTGTCAACCTGTAATAATAATAATAATAAAAATAATAAAATAATTATATATATTACAACAATTAATCAAATTAATAGCAAATGAATAAAACTAAAACTAATATAATAAAACTAATAATAATAGCAATATACATAAATAAATGCAAAAACGAAAAAATAAATGAAGAGCGACAAACGATATACAATACATAATGCATGTTGTGTTGTCAATAGTAAGAGAAACAATTGAGACCCTGCAATTGTGTATAAATGAGGCAGAAAGTCAGATCACCAACCTGGGACTCGGTCACAATTTTCGTGATGCCATATGGCAGCAGGGTCTACCATTAGACAACACATTACACTGGGGGAACAAAATTCAACTTTTGTCAGTTGCATACATTTTGAGACCTGTTTCTGGAAATTGAGTACTGATTTCAAATATGGCACCGGTTTTTTTATCGGTCTAGTTTTGTTATGTGAGTTACCTACCATTTACTACTATATATAGTTAGACTACCATATACTACTGCTAAAAATCTAAACCAGCACACAGAGAGGAATTACCAAACACGTAGAATTAATTTAATTACTTTTTATTTACCTTGACAAGCATATTTTGGATTCATCAGTTGCTTTTGTGAACTATGCCAGATTATTCAGGCACAAACTTATGCTTAATGGACTGTCTTGAATATCGCCTCAGTGCAGTCTCGCTGAATGCTCCAGCAATAGTCCGCCATCAGAATATCCCAGCGACCTTGATACCTGTCTTCCATGACTTTGATATCCTGGTGAAAGCATTCACCTTGCTCATCACCACGCCCCCAAGTTTGCCGAAACAGTTCAAGATGACTGTTCAGGAACTGCATCTTAATGCTTGCGTTGCAACCTCAACATATGGAAACTTTTCCATCAAAGATTCAACGAGCTTTTTATAGTCCTCTGATTTCTGTTTCAAGAAAGTTCTTTACAACAGAAACGAATGCCCCCATGCATTTCCTCAACATCAGTCATGGATTGAGTGAAGGCTTGGTCTTTAATCAGCGCCCTAATTTGAGGGCCGTCGAAAATACCTGCTTTGAGTTTTTCAGCGTTAAACCAGGAACACTTCACACAGATACTTAAAACAGTCACTGTCAGTATCGAGCGCTTTGACAAACTGTTTCATAACCAGCTTGATGTGAAGGCGGAAAATTTTTTCACGCTCCACTAGGTTCATAAATGATGTTCTTTTCCCCAACATTGAGGCTTTCCTAACTGGCCATTCCTTCTGAATCCAGTGTCTGTCTTTGGCTCTGCTGTCCCAGAGGCAGATAAAGCAAGGAAATTTTGTATACCCACCTTGCTGTGTCCTAGCAAAAAATTGACCATTTTTAGATCAACACAGATGATCCATTTGTGTTCTTCATAGAGTAGCTCCAAACCGTTTTGATGTGTTCATATTTTTCTTCAGGTGTTCTGAGTGTCATGGGTATTGGCGCCAAAGATGTTGCCTATATGTAATAAACACACTTCAGACCGCTAGAGCTATAAGAGGCGCGACTGGATCATAACCTGGAGCTCCCATCATGTGACTAATCCAGAAATATCACAACAGTAGGACGTGTCAAATTTAGAATCAAAGAACTGTAAGAGGTTCTTTTTTCTGCATAAAGAATGTTTCTTTGTGTCTATTTTCAGCAAGTTTTATCTTTTTAACCGTGAAGCCGCAACTTGGACAGCTTTTTAGACAGACCCAGATTTTAACTGTCGTTGAGTTCTGCTTACTAAATGTTTTGCGGTTCTGTTGATATGCCTGCAAAATCTGGAGTCACTATTTCTGTTAGTTGACTCCTCTGTGACCCCAGTGTCATATTCACTGTCAGATTCAACGAAGCAAGTTGAGTGAAGATAGGCTTTGGGAACATCATCTGAATGGGCACAGGCCTGATTGCTGAATCTAGACCTGATCTGTACAAACGAAGTTATTTTTAAATTGTGACCTCAAATCTACCAGAATCAAGTGTCAGAAATCATGCAACCGAAAGTGTGTTCTAGTGTTATGCTTCCAATCATTTCAATACTCAGTGATCATAAGTGAGGAAGCAGTTTGTTAATAGCATATCTGATGACTTTGCTGATAACTTTCTTTCACATTTGCACAAACAAGTGCTGGTGGTGTTGTAGCCAGGTTAGACTGTAACCACCAGGCTACCAGGTCAAGCTGTGAGGTGTTATGGTTGTTTTTCAATTCATATTTTCGGGCAGATATCTGTAACTTTCTTCATTCATTTCAACTCAATTACATGCACACACCATCTTACATACACAATGTGAAAAAAGAAAACAAAATAATTGTCCTTGAGGGCAAACACAAAGAAATTACACATTTCTTTGTACATGTACAGAGTTAACTGGCTCAGTGAGGAAGCAGGAGGAGGGTGCAGGTTGGGAGGAGCTGCTGGCCTCCATTGTTATGGTGATGCAGGGAGTGTATATATAAATGGCGATTGTGTTAAACTTCTGCCCCCCCAAGTCAAGCACAGTTGACTGCTCAGAAGACACGTATTACTGCTGTATTATATTATACTGTACCCAACACGACCTTGTTTCTGCCAGGGCAAATATAACTTGCGCAACATCTTGATCCCTGTCCACGATTAAAATCGACACAACATAAGAACAACATATTTTGTGGTTATTTTTATGTTTACAATGACACTTCTGGCTTCAATCCCAAGTGATGCACCTAAGGGAAGTTGTTCTTCAAATGTTTCAATATTAAGTGACTAACCAACAATTAATACCATTTGTCATGAACAATGTATAACTTACCTCTCACTATCATTAATAACATTAAGACCAATGACCCATTTGTCATGAACAATCTTGTGTTTCACATCGAGTATCTTTAAATGTGAAGTCCCAAGCCTGACAGCCATTCCTCTGCTTTCTTTGCTCTCCTGACCATCTCCTTCTATAGTCAATACTGCCATCAGTTTTTAATGAAGAAAAAATACTTAGGACTAATAATACTTAGTTATAATTTCTATGATATTAATATAAAGTAAAAAGCATCAGTGTGAATAAAGTAATAAAGTTATAAGACATCAGTGAGAATAAAGTATTAAAGTACCAGTGAGAATAAAGTAATAAAGCATCAGTGGGAATAAAGTATTAAAGTAATAAAGCATCAGTGAGAATAAAGTAATAAAGCATAGTGGAATAAAGAAATAAAGTACCAGTGAGAATAAAGTAATAAAGCATCAGTGGGAATAAAGTAATAAAGCATCAGTGGAATAGTATAAAGTAATAAAGCATCAGTGAGAATAAAGTAATAAAGCATCAGTGGGAATAAAGTAATAAAGTACCAGTGAGAATAAAGTAATAAAGCATCAGTGGGAATAAAGTAATAAAGTACCAGTGAGAATAAAGTAATAAAGCATCAGTGGAATAAAGTAATAAAGTATTAAAGTAATAGCATCATGAGAATAAAGTGATAGTAATAAAGCATCAGTGAGAATAAAGTAATAAAGTATTACAATAGTGAGAATAAAGTAATAAAGCATCAGTGAGAATAAAGTAAAAAGTAATAAAGCATCAGAGAATAAAGTAATAAAGCATCAGTGAGAATAAAGAAATAAAGCATCAATGAGAATAAAGTAATAAAGTATCAGTGAGAATAAAGTAATAAAGTAATAAAGCATCAGTGAGAATAAAGTAATAAATTATTAGTGAGAATAAAGTAATAAAGTATTAAAGAATAAAGTAATAAAGTAATAAAGCATCAATGAGAATAAAGTAATAAAGCATCAGTGAGAAAAGAAATAAAGTAATAAATTATTAGTGAGAATAAAGTAATAAAGTAATAAAGTATTAGCAAGAAAAAAGTAATAAAGTAATAAAGCATCAATGAGAATAAAGTAATAAAGCATCAGTGAGAATAAAGTAATAAGGCATCAGTGAGAATAAAGAAATAAAGTATAATTATTAGTGAGAATAAAGTAATAAAGCAATAAAGTATTAGCAAGAATAAAGTAATAAAGTAATAAAGCATCAATGAGAATAAAGTAATAAAGCATCAGTGAGAATAAAAATAAAGCATCAGAGAATAAAGTAATAATAAAATTATTAGTGAGAATAAAGTAATAAAGTAATAAAGCATCAGTAGTAATAAAGTAATAAAGTATTAGTGAGAATAAAGTAATAAACATCAGTGGAATAAAGTAATAAAGTATTAAAGTAATGAAGCATCAGTGAGAATAAAGTAATAAAGTATTAGAAGAATAAAGTAATAAAGCATCAGTGAGAATAAAGTAATAAAGCATCAGAGAATAAAGTAATAAAGTAATAAAGCATCAGTGAGAATAAAGTAATAAAGTAATAAAGCATCAGTGAGAATAAAGTAATAGTAATAGTGAGAATAAAGTAATAAAGTATTAAAGTAATAAAGCATCAGGAATAAAGTAATAAAGTAATGTATTAGCAAGAATAAAGTAATAAAGCATCAGTGAGAATAAAGTAATAAAGTATTAGTGAGAATAAAGTAATAAAGTAATAAAGCATCAGAGAATAAAGTAATAAAGTATTAGCAAGAATAAAGTAATAAAGTAATAAAGTATTAGTGAGAATAAAAGTAATAAAGCATCAGTGGGAATAAAGTAATAAAGTATTAAAGTAATAAAGCATCAGTGAGAATAAAGTAATAAAGTAATAAAGCATCAGTGAGAATAAAGTAATAAAGTATTAGCAAAGAATAAAGTAATAAAGTAATAAAGTATTAGTGAGAATAAAGTAATAAAGCATCAGTGGGAATAAAGCAAAAGTATTAAAGTAATAAAGCATCAGTGAGAATAAAGTAATAAAGTAATAAAGTAAAAAGCATCAGTGAGAATAAAGTAATAAAGCATCAGTGAGAATAAAGTAATAAAGTATTAGTGAGAATAAAGTAATAAAGTAATAAAGCATCAGTGAGAATAAAGTAATAAAGCATCAGTGAGAATAAATTAATAAAGTATTAGTGAGAATAAAGTAATAAAGTAATAAAGTATCAGCGAGAATAAAGTAATAAAGCATCAGTGAGAATAAAGTAATAAAGTATTAGTGAGAATAAAGTAATAAAGCATCAGTGGGAATAAAGTAATAAAGTATTAAAGTAATAAAGCATCAGTGAGAATAAATTAATAAAGTATTAAAGTATCAGCTAGAATAAAGTAACAAAGTACCAGTGAGAATAAAGTAAAAAGCATCAGTGAGAATAAAGTAATAAAGTAATAAAGTATTAGTGAGAATAAAGTAATAAAGTATTAAAGTAATAAAGCATCAGTGAGAATAAAGTAATAAAGTATTAGCAAGAATAAAGGATAAAGTAATAAAGATCAGAGAATAAAGTATTAAAGTATTAGTGAGAATAAAGTAATAAATTATTAGTGTGAGAATAAAGTAATAAAGTATACAATAGTGAGAATAAAGTAATAAAGCATCAGTGAGAATAAAGTAATAAAGCATCAGTGAGAATAAAGTAATAAAGTATCAGTGAGAATAGAGTAATAAATTATTAGTGAGAATAAAGTAATAAAGTATTACAATAGTGAGAATAAAGTAATAAAGCATCAGTGAGAATAAAGTAATAAAGTATCAGTGAGAATAAAGTAATAAAGTATCAGTGAGAATAAAGTAATAAAGTAATAAAGCATCAGTGAGAATAAAGTAATAAAGTATCAGTGAGAATAAAGTAATAAAGTATCAGTGAGAATAAAGTAATAAAGTAATAAAGCATCAGTGAGAATAAAGTAATAAAGTATCAGTGAGAATAAAGTAATAAAGCATCAGTGAGAATAAAGTAATAAAGTATCAGTGAGAATAAAGTAATAAAGTAATAAAGTATCAGTGAGAATAAAGTGAAGCATCAGTGAGAATAAAGTATCAGTGAGAATTAATAAAGTAATAAAGCATCAGTGAGAATAAAGTAATAAAGTAATAATTATTAGTGAGAATAAAGTAAAAGCATCAGTGAGAATAAAGTAATAAAGTAATAAATTATTAGTGAGAATAAAGTAATAAAGCATCAGTGAGAATAAAGTAATAAAGTAATAAAGTATTAGTGAGAATAAAGTAATGTATTAGTGAGAATAAAGTAATAAAGTATCAGTGAGAATAAAGTAAAAAGTAATAAAGTATTACAATAGTGAGAATAAAAGAAAAAAGCATCAGTGAGAATAAAGTAATAAAGTATCAGGAGAATAAAGAAATAAAGTAATAAATATTAGTGAGAATAGTAATAAAGTATCAGTGAGAATAAAGTAATAAAGTAAGATTACAATAGTGAGAATAAAGTAATAAAGCATCAGTGAGAAATAAAGTAAAAGTATCAGTGAGAATAAAGTAATAAAGTATTACAATAGGAGAATAAAGTAATAAAGTATACAATAGTGAGAATGTAATAAAGCATCAGTGAGAATAAAGTAACAAAGTAATAAAGCATCAGTGAGAATAAAGAAATAAAGTATCAGTGAGAATAAAGTAATAAAGTATCAGTGAGAATAAAGTAATAAAGTAATAAAGCATCAGTGAGAATAAAGTAATAAAGTACAAAGTATCAGTGAGAATAAAGTAATAAAGTATCAGTGAGAATAAAGTAATAAAGTAATAAAGCATCAGTGAGAATAAAGTAATAAAGTAATAAAGCATCAGTGAGAATAAAGTAATAAAGTAATAAAGTATTAGCAAGAATAAAGTAATAAAGTATCAGTGAGAATAAAGTAATAAAGTAATAAAGCATCAGTGAGAATAAAAGAAGATCAGTGAATAAAGAAATAAAGAATCAGGAGAATAAAGTAAAAAGTAATAAGCATCAGAGAATAAAGTAAAAAGTATTAGCAAGAATAAAGTAAAAAGTATCAGTGAGAATAAAGTAATAAAGTATTAAACATCAGTGAGAATAAAGTAATAAAGTACCAAAAAGAAAGTAATAAAGTATTAAAGCATCAGTGAGAATAAAGTAATAAAGTACCAGTAAGAATAAAGTAAAAGCATCAGTAGAAAAAAAGACAGTGAGAATAAAGTAATAAAGCATCAGTGAGAATAAAGTAATAAAGCATCAGTGAGAATAAAGAAATAAAGCATCAGTGAGAATAAAGTAATAAAGTGTAATAAAGCATTAGTGAAAATAAAGTAATAAAGTATCAGTGAGAATAAAGTAATAAAGTAATAAAGATTATAATAGTGAGAATAAAGTTAAGATCAGTAGAATAAAGTAATAAAGCATCAGTGAGAATAAAGTAATAAAGCATCAGGAGAATAAAGTAATAAAGCATCAGTGAGAATAAAGAAATAAAGTATCAGTGAGAATAAAGTAAAAAGTAATACAGTATTAGCAAGAATAAAGTAATAAAGTATCAGTGAGAATAAAGTAATAAAGTAATAAAGCATCAGTGAGAATAAAGTAATAAAGTATCAGTAGAATAAAGTGAATAAAAATAATGTGGAATAAAGTAATAAACTAGTGAGAATAAAGTAATAAAGCATCAGTGAGAATAAAGTAATGTATTAGTAGAATAGTAATAAAGTATCAGTGAGAATAAGTAAGTACATCAGTGAGAATAAAAGAAATAAAGTATCAGTGAGAATAAAGTAATAAGTGAGAATAAAGTAATAAAGTATTAGTGAGAATAAAGTAATAAAGCATCAGTGAAATAAAGAAATAAAGTATCAGTGAGAATAAAGAAATAAAGTATCAGTGAGAAAAAGTAATAAAGTAATAAAGCATCAGTGAGAATAAAGAAGAAGCATCAGTGAGAATAAAGTAATAATATCAGGAGAATAAAGTATTAATAAGGTATTAGAATAAAGTAATAAAAGTATCAGTGAGAATAAAGTAATCAGAGAATAAAGTAATAGAATAGATCAGTGAGAATAAAGTAATGATCAGTAGAAAAGTAATAAAGTACCAGTGAGAATAAAAGAATAAAGATGTGAGAATAAAGTAATAAAGTAATAAAGC